TTAAGCAATAACATTGCATCGCTAAGGATATAGCTTAAGTAGTATATAACGGTATAGCATGAGTTCTCTCGTATACTGTATTAATACAGATAAAATGTTACAGCGCCGAAAATGCCATCGCGATGAGGTTTTTTAAATAATATTTGTATNATTATAAAAATATATTTAGTTAGTTTTATAATATATATTATTAAATGCATAATATATATTTCAAAATTTATATCAATTCTATTTTCTTTGAAAGACATAACAGATGCCAGACAACATTCAAAATGCTCTGGCTGTCATAGTTGCCACTGCAGTGCTTCGTAACATTGCAATTTCACATGGAAATATCACAGTTCCAACATGAATGGAGATGTTCCGGTGCCTGTTGTCAAAAATCAGAATGCTGCTGGATTTGCAAAAAGAAATGCATTAATAGCAGATTTCTTTAGATTTTAACTTTTGAAATGTTTGCATAATCTTTTAAGGTTATGCAAATATATTGCACACATTATTATTAAATTAAAAGGCCCTTTCCGGGGCATAAATTTTGCTTAAGAGTTAGCTAAATCAATATAATTAAAAAATTTGGCAGTTTTATTTTACCATGCAAATGAAAAGTAGACAAGAATCCTGTTGAAAGGCAATATGGTTTATGACAGACATTTCCCATGCTTTTCTATTGGACTACACTATAATTCGCAGAATGCAGTGCATATTATAGTTCTTCACAATATTGCACTACAAGATGAAAGTACTGTATAGCATTATTTCATGATGATGATAATGCTCATTTTTTTTAACTTTAGATTTGCCTGTACAACCATGTAAATACCAGAAATGTTCAAAGTTTTGTGAAAAAGATGCAATAATTCAAAATATTTTGTAAGCAGAATAACCACTTGATACAACTAACCGATAGAAAATTTGACAACCCATTATCGCTACTCGGATAGCTGCACCAAATGTTGCCTGGAAAGTTAAGCAACTCGTTGCTGAATTTTTAAGATTGTAGTAATCTTTTTTGGACTTCTGTTGCGGCTATGGACGATATTGATGAGAGTTATTCTACAAATGTCTGTCTAGTTTCTCCGTATTTCAGACTATGGTAATCCTCATACAACGTCTTCTGTTGTGAGTGTGCCTCTTCAGAATACATTCTGTTGCATAGAATTTAAGTCATATTTCGACAGATACGATACAGTCGAAAATTCTTTAAAAATAAATAAATAAATTCGATTTTAAATAGAAATTTATTCTGAATTTTTAAACATTTGAAAATATTTAAAAGGTGCCACAAAATTAAGATGAAAGCATGCCGTTCTAAAGGGCCTGAGGTTGAAACCGAAGTGGTCGAAAAACCCCAGGAATTTTTCAAGAGATAGTCCATCCAGATATGTCGGGATTGGTAAAAAGACTCCCTTAGTGACCATAAACAGGAATTAATAAAAAAAAGTAAATAAATAAATTATGAGAGACTTCAAATGAATCAGACTTAAGAAAAATTTTAATATCTACGAACTAAAATATAAATATTATATTAAATATTATACAAATAGTCAGTATTATGTATGATTATAGCAAATCTATAGGCTATAAATAAATCAGAAATAATATTAATATAAACCCGAAGTTTCGTAAATGATTGTATTGTTGCGATTTCAATAATGCGAACAATATTAGTGTTTTCTAACAATATTTACGAAAGTGAATAATTCTTAAAGCGCTTTCAAGTGGAAATAGTCGATATAAACGATGAATAGACGCGATACATTAATGGTAATTTTACCGTTATTTATTTTATTGTATGCTCCTACGGGGCATAACTCCATGATAAGTCTAGAAAAGAAACTCATGAATGAAGCAAACTGGTTGACCCTCGGTTCTCCAACTGAGAAACGGGTTGCTTACGATGACGCTTTAAACAGTGCGATGTCTTCACCACAGTTTAAAAAATACAGTGGTGTGTATATTCCTCAAAGTAAGTCAAAAGTTGGAGGATTGGACTGGCTCGTCAGACCGACCCAATTTTTGAAACAGCTACGAAGCAAAAAATTAGAAATGGACACAGATAAAGATCATGAAGAATTTGAACGAAATCAAGATTTAACTAAACAGATAACTGTAAAAAATTCAAAAAGCAAAGATCAGAAGCCATCTTTTTACATAGAAAATTACAAAAAATACAAAAAGTCATATTTTATGAGAAATTACGCAAATAATGAGCTCGACCAAAAAGCAGACATGGATCAAGCGGGAAAATTAAATGGAAATGTAAGATTTTCGAAGAATAGTTTTAAAAATCGTCTTAATAGAATGTTAATCGGTCCAATCAGACAGAAAGCCAATGAAATTAAAATACCAGAAAATACAACTGATATCAAGGTGAGAAAAGAGCTTACCGAACAAGAAATGAAAATCGTAATGAAAAAAATCGGCCGTGCCATTTCCATGGTATTGGTTGCTTTCGTTATAGTATCGTTGATACTTCTACTTGCTACTGTGCTCGTGTACGTTTTCTTTAGAATATTTAACGAAAAACCGTCTAAACAAGAAAAGTACGAAGCACCTCAACGATCAAAATCCATTTTCTTCGTCGATATCGAGTCATCTCATCACGAGAGCGAAAAACACGTCAGTTCGGAAGAGATCCGTAATGAAACTGTATTGACACTGGAAGAAACACTGGGTGAGGAAGATTTTGAAGAAACATCTCCCCTATTGTCTGCAAAATCAACATCACCAAAAAATGAAAAGGATAAACATGATTCATCTTCCTCGAATGGAACCGAAACTGTACAGATGACGGCCAAAATTAAAAGTCCTGCTTCCGGTAGCGTAGAAACCATATATAGTTCTCCATCTTATGCGAGTGGCTCGTCTCAGAAAGAGAAAGAAACCCAATTAGACACCAACGTCAAACACCAAAACAGAAACAGTTTATACGAAGAACATATTTACGATTTTCTAAAATCTTCCGAGACGTTATCCGAAGAGGAAAAAATCTCGCATTCTCTCACAAAGACGAACGAGGACGTCGATACATTTCAATACACGGAAACACGAGAGGTCGATATTTCCAGTAAGGAAAGTGGGTCAAAACAGCAACCAATTAAGTTTTCATTAAACAATCAAACACACAATCTGTATACAGTTCGTACTATCGAACATACGAACTTGCCACCCGCTGTTCAAATGAAGAAAGGAAGCTGGAAGAACTCAAACCGCGTTACTCATGCTGGAGATGCGTACAACGGATCGTCTGTGGATCGTGGTGTAAACTTCAAAGATTATTTTAACACAAATTATATCGTCTTAAGTGGACAGACTGGCAAACAATCCGAGAAATTTAGAACTGAGAATTGCGTAATTTTGGACAAAATAAGCGAAAATTTAATCAAGGAAAAAGATTTGGTGAAAGAACAAATTGATTCACGACATCGAAACAAAGATTTTGTCTCCAAGAATAATAAACCGATTTGTCCAGTAAGAAGAAAAAATACAGACATTACAATAGACGAAGTCGATAATTTTAATTCTAGAAGAGATTTTTGTCGAGAAAACGAAAATTTTACTCATTTCGTGGATCTCGTAGACACGGGTGACATTTCGGAGTAAAAGCGCACTTAACCGAAGACAAAATTCATTTATAAATAATTCTAAATACATTAATTTCGTGTTAATTTGTAAATACATTATTATAGCCTAATTGATAATTTTGATCGAGTTAAATTTAAAATAAACATTTTAAGACTTCTGTATTGTCTTTTTAAAAAACATAAAATCACTCCCCTTTGTAAATAGTTGTGACCAAAGGGTGGGCATCACATCACGATGCCTCGTCAGGACTGACACCACTGTGTCTTCGGGATAGACACAGAAACCGCAACTTTAAAATTTGCTCGAGAGTCACGTGCACGGGCGATCGGATTCGGGATGAAGGAGGGTTGAGAGACGGATCGGAAGTGATTCACTCGGATACAAGATTAGCAACTAAAAAAATACATAGCTCTAGGCTATCGAATAGCGTTCGAGAGAGAGAGAGTTTACAAGAAACCGCGAGTTGATTGGTATACTGTATATACCTTTGATGCATTTAATTGTACGGATTCCGGATCTAGGAGTTTTCTGACGTTCGTCGGTTGGAATGGTCGGTTAGGGAGGCGTTAAGTTCCTTTTCTCGGACGGTGGTCAAACCAGGGGAAATTGAAGGATATAAAAATTCGGAGTTCGAAGTTGTCAAACACTACAGAATACGAAATCCTGGCTACGATTCCTCTTGAGGGTTTCAGGGCACTTAATTGATACTTTCGTGAAGTCTCGACGACCCCTTGTCCTTGAGTCACTCCTTTTTATACCTCCAAATCACGTTATTTTTTCTCACTAATCAAGAATTTTTTGTAGTAATTCCCAGTGACACATCCGATGAGTTCCCTGGGAAAGGAAACGACTCCGGAGAGAGATGTGATCATTCTCCTGTAATAAAAAATGGGAAAAATTTTTTATGTCGCCTCGAATTCGAAGCCGATTACATCCTTTACATTAACAAAAACAACTTTACTATTCATCCAAATATTAATATTTAAAATATTACAATATTTTAATGAGGTTTTAATATACAGGAGTGTCGGAAAAGTACGCGGTAGGGCCTCTTTCCTTCTTTCAGAAATAGAGAGAAGAGACCTTGCCGCGAATGTAATCATTCGTATCAATAACGTCATAATTATATTCTGTTGCAATTATTCTATTATTATTTAAATAAATAATTTATTATAAAATATTTTTATATGATTGAAATGCTTGATAATTTTCATTTCTTAACGTATATTTTAAAATATAACAATCTGCAGTTACAAATTCGGATCGTTAACTAAACATTACGTCAACACCGAATAAGTGACGACGTCTGTGTGATTTGTTTACACTATAAACACCGCGTGATTTATTCGATCGTAAATATAAAATGATACTCGATAAATGGCTTTATACATCCTTTACGAGTGACATAAAAACGAATCGTGTTAATTGAATAACGATTTTGTAAACGACATAAAACACGTACACGTGTACTGTACTTTAAATTTGGTTATCCTAATCCTATGAAAGTTTATCCATTTATTTTTAAATTAACAATTTTCATCACGTTTCATCAAATCAGCAATTTTCATCAAAAATTAACACATGAAATCACTACTGAGCTCCAGGTAAGTGACTCAACCTTGTTTTTATTCTTTCATCCCTCTGGGTACCAATAGGACCTATCTAATCATACCCATTATAATTTCGTCCAGAAGGACCCCTAATTGTGTTTTTTTTTTTTAAGTACACGGTGCCATTCATTTGCCCACGAATGGCACCATTACTTTAAAAGAAAAAACGCAATTAGGGGTGCCATTAGAGTTATTAGATTAGAGTCTAAAGTTAATGAGTAAAAAGCTAATTAAGTTAATTTAATTATTTTTCTGTTGATTATTTTTAAAATGTAACAAATATATATTGAAGTACCGAATTGTTATCTTCGATACAATCGAGATTTCATTACACATAAACAGAAATATTTAGTTACGCCTGTTTATAAAATATTGTATTAATTTCAGCCCTTTATTACAGTAAGTATCGTAATATTTAGATAACGTTCTCTGTTATAGAGCAATCTAAGAGTGCTATTCTTCAAATAGTTTACTAAATTCTAGAACAATCTTGTAATATTAGACTTTAAAACAATCTAAAAACATCGTTTGGGTTCTAGAGCAATCTAGGGGAATTTACAAGATGGGTAGAAAGTAACTAGGCATTGAGAATTCGCTATTAGTTTTATATTTCTAAGACAAATATAATGAAAGTTATTTTACATGTACGGTACGTTACTAAATTAAAATATGGAAACATACCTTAAAATTCATTGTAGGTATCGGCACCAACTTTGTCAAACGAACCGGAATCGTGATGTGGATCGACGACCACAACCGAACTTGTGGTCATTTGTTTCGAATGACGATTGTTAATCGTTATCGGACGGATTGTGATAAGACGTCCCTTCACCGTATTCTACAATCTCTGCACAACAACCACTAAATTCAACATCACATAGCATGCGGCAATCTACATGTAGACAAGCTATCGACAATTGTTTCCACTGTGCATGTGTCCCCTTCCGGTCATTAATCAACTACTTATGGAAGAATTATAAAGTTCCATTAATCGCTGTACATGTATACATAAATTTTATTACGATTTCATTATTATTAAAAAATTTATATAAATTTTTTAATGCCTAGTTACTTTCCACCCACCCTGTAGTTTAGAATCCAGAGAAATGTGTGAACACATTGAACATTTTGGATTGTAGAACAGTCTAAAACTACTGTTTGGTTCTAGAACAATGAAGGAATATATAAAATTAAAAATTCTTCATAATAAAATGATATCAATATACAAATTCTAACATAACATAGTCGATGATATGGAGTTTCATCATTGAGTTAGAGAAACATATGTTAAGGATTAACAAACAACCAGACTTTTTCCTACTTTTTTTTATTAATTATTTAAATGTACTTTTAAAGTAAAAATATGTCGAGTTTTTTTTCCTCATTCTAATTGTTAAAAATTCTAATTTCGAATACATTAAGGTCGTAAAGATGTCCTTCTTTAGTTAAACTTTAACATTAACCTTTGACCTCTTTAGCTTGAATTCCTCTACTGATTTTAAATAAGTTTTTTTTTTTTTTAATATAACTTCTTTAAAATATAATGTTGCTCACTTTAATATTTATTAATATATTTTTTTCGCTGATTTTTATGTTAAAAATGTAAATTTTATTGTCACTTTAACGAGATTTTGTAAGAGTGTGCGTGTCGACAGACATATCAACGATCTTTCTATATAAAATTATAAGGGACAAAGGTCATGTACATTATTAAAAAACACTTTTTTTCTCGTTTAAGTAAACATAAAGATTCTAGATTTGTCAGTTTGTAGTTTAAAATAATAAACAAAGTTTTCATAATAAGCGTGTGTGAAAAGAAATTTCCTTCACATAAAACAATGGGGTGGGGCCCAAAATTAAGTTAACCGTGTGGTTAACTTAATTTTGGGCCACCCTTTATATTAAAAAAACTCTTGAAGCTTAATGTATTGTCAAACCTCTGAAGAACGGCCACTAACGGGAACATAAAAAAAAAAAATGGTCTGTCATTAGAGGTTCTAATGTATAATTTTAAACATTAGCATCCCAGTAGGAGTTTAAAGTGTTATTTGATGGTTATGATTCTCATTTACAATCTAAATAGGCTCTTCAATTGTCAATGAGAAAGTAGGTAATGTCTCAGCACGCGGTCAGCAATGACCCTCTTTTTATTTTGAATTTGTAAAAATTTAGTTACCTTATGTAAGTTATAAATTAGCATATTCTCATTAATCATGTCTTTAGTATTATTACTTCTGTTGCCGGAATTGTCTTTGAAATGTCTATTCATCATTGAGTTCTTTCTTCTTCATGAACATACGATTCTTAACTTGCAAGAGGGTGAACGTTTGCAAGATTATTTTATTCACTTGCTGATTTATTATAAAATATATAAAATGAGAAATTTTATCCATTTTATCTTCAATTCTCTTCATACTTCTTTCAATTATTCCCAAAGAATTAAAGGTAACTCATTAACGTTATATTCTTTTTTTTTTAAATTTTAAATTAATTCGTTTGTTCGCAGAATCTAAAATATTTTAAACTTAATTTTTAGTTAGAATTTTATCAATTTATCGCTCTTGGGGACTCGGCAACTCGGCAGGCGAATACCCCAAGAGTATTGCCGCTCACTATCCGGTCACTCCCATTATGGGCATGGTCTAATCCAAAATGGCTCTCTTAGGCCCTACAGAGTATAGGGTTTGGTCGGATGTGAGAAGATAACGTAACACATCTGTTTTAAGGAAGTGTCTCTCGGGAGGACTTTCTATGAGAAGCTGGCATCTATTTAGGTGTTAGGCATGAGAAGAAAACCCGAAAAACACGTGGTTAGCTCGTTGACGAGGTCAGAACTCGCCACCGACTTGTATTTGAAAGTACTGTACAATAGTAATGTATATGATTGGTGGCACAACCCACCATTTCTCAACCCAATCTATAAAAACATGACTAATAAAAGCGTTTTATTAGTCATGTTTTTATAGATTGGGTTGAGAGAAGGTGGGTTGTGCCACCAATCATATACTAATAAAAGCGTTTTATTAGTCATGTTTGCCCATTTTTCTGATACAGGACTTCAAAATTCAGTCTTTTATGAGGAAACTTTCCCATCTTTTTCGTGTATTTTGAATTAAGATATTAGACCCCACATTTGTAACTGACTCGGCGCCGTCTCACATCTAATCAGACCCTCTCGGACCCGATGGGCTATTATTTCTCCTATTATTGTTAATTTATTACCAGAACCTGTCGGCCTTGGTAATGAATTAATAATTACGCGAAAAACTTGAGCATTAAACTTCTTAAGTAATTTTTTTTTAATCTTTTCATTCTGCGGGTATCAAGAGGGCCCTTTTCCGTAACCATTGCGTGTTCGACCAGGCCCACAATGGACCGACCGCCCATGAAAAATTCCCTGGAAATTGCTTACTCGGATTCGATCCCGGATGTTCCAGAGCAGAAGGCTAACGTCTTAACTCAGCCTTCTGCTCTGGAATTCAGCCTTTATTGACATGTGAACGAAAGCAAATTATGTCGTAAATAGAGTATAAATATAGTACAAGGGTATCAATTTACCAATATCCATAAAATATAGATATTTATATATTATAATTAGCCTATAATACTAACCTTGCGTATGCCATATTACAACAGGAGAATTTCATCATTAACGAATTTATGCTGAAATCTTCAATAGAATACGAGGCGCTTAAAGAGCACCTCGCACAACGAGTATTTCTCATAACGAGCAAAAATAAATTGTAAAATGACTCGCTTAACGAGTGATGTTTCGCATAACGAGTAAAGAGGAGAGGGGAAATATAATCCCCGATAACTGGCCTACCTCTTGTGAAATTAATTAATTTCTATTATTTAATTAGGGGAAGGTCGGATAGTACCGAACACCTAAGCTTCTCCTATATTATAAAAAAAAAATTTACAGTTCAATTGGTCCAATTTTACCTAGTTTAATTTTGGAGGATTGTATTGGACACGAGAAAAATCTGCAAGAAGAGAATTACTTTCGGTTTCTCAAACAATTTTTTATTATTAGGCAGAGTTATTATTGACAAATTTATAAAAGTACAACACTTGTTAAGCGAGGTTTCACTGTATTGTACAGTCGACCCCCCCCCTATAACACTGTTGATTATTCCGTTTTATATGAATTCCATGTTGTACGAGTCACTTAGATTTTACAAATACGCGTGCCGCACTGTGAATGGCTCACGTATTTGTAAAATCTAAGTGAATCGTACAACATGGAGTTCATATAAAACGCAATTATCAACAGTGTTATAGGGGGTCGACTGTAAATACAAAACTTATTATACACAGAATAGTGGTTGTATTATTAAAAAACTGCTTTTCAAAAATAGATAAAGTAGTCATCATCAAAATGTCTTAAGAAATTTTTTATATGTGTATGTGTATATATTCGTGTATCTAAAAAGATGCACAATTACTTAGGTTAAAACATTAGGTACCGACGCTGTTCTTAGAATTATGTAGAATGGTACTGTACATTCGAAGATTACGTGATTCTGACAGCCACAATACATCTGCGGGGAGTCGCTCGTATTGTTCGGGCCAAACTCACAACCATGTATAGTTCTTCCAACATAAATTTGCACCAATATTGCCAGACCCTCTCAGTGTCTAGACTGCGGAGAAAGTTAACAATGTGTAGAATATAATTACATTATCTCATATTCAGGGCGTAGAAATAAGGTTTTTTGGTAATTTATTTTAAAAATTGTTAATTATAAAATAATTTACTTATATTTTTCATTAACTCCGTCTTCACTTTCGTATGATACTATATTAATACTGTATAATTAAATTATCAATGTTAACTAACAAATTAAGATTTTGGTAATGCTCTTAGTGTATAAGTTTTATTACACAAAATTTTAATTCTAGATCCTGTTTAAAAGCAATAAATGATGATTCTTCGGAAGATTTTTTCTCTTCAAGGACTGTTATATTGCTTTATTTTGTTCGTAATCTTAATATGTTCAACGTTCGTTATTTATGATTACATTGCAAAGTATGATCGGGAGCCATCTTTCGATCTCATCAATTTTAGCGATTCAAACAATGAAACTGGGTATCCTCGTTACATCGTTCCTGATATCGTTCATTTAATACGTTTCGACATTCCCGAATTAACGTTTGTAGATATGGTCTGCATCAAATCCATACTTCTCAATCACAAACCAAAGACTATAATCATTCACTGCAACTGTGACAATTTAACAGGGAAATATTGGGACATGATTAAAGACATGCCACAGCTGAAAGTGCAATATAGAAAGAAACCAGAATATGTTTTTGGTACAAAAATAAGTTGGATAGAACACTCCTCCGACGTTACTCGCATTAAAATTCTTAGGAAATATGGAGGGATTTACTTGGATAATGACGTCTTTGTGGTTAACTCATTGCACGAGTTTCGAAGATTTGAAATGACTCTCGGATGGGATCTAAACGAGGACAATTTGGGAAGTCAAGTTTTAATTGCACATAAGAATGCAAGATTTCTAAAATATTGGTACGAATCGTACGAGTTTTACAATCCTGAAAAATGGTATTACAATGCTGGAGAATTTCCAACAAGAACTATTCTTTCTGTTTTTCCAGAACTTGTCCATAGAGTAATCGATTATTTTGGAGTGAATACAGATTTAGCTGTTATGTTATATGTTAAAAAAACTGACGATTGGAAGAATTTTTATACGCTTCATCTTCTGATACATCATCGTTATTTGGTACCCAACGATCGTCCCGAGATTTTCGACGAAAATAATACTATAACTTACAACAGGACATTCGGAGACATGGTTCGTTCTGTTTTATAAATAACAATACATTCTTGTTAAAAATTTTTAATGTTTGTAAAATGTCTACGGTAATAAATTATAATAAATGANCATAAGAATGCAAGATTTCTAAAATATTGGTACGAATCGTACGAGTTTTACAATCCTGAAAAATGGTATTACAATGCTGGAGAATTTCCAACAAGAACTATTCTTTCTGTTTTTCCAGAACTTGTCCATAGAGTAATCGATTATTTTGGAGTAAACACAGATTTAGCTGTTATGTTATATGTTAAAAAAACTGACGAATGGAAGAATTTTTATACGCTGCATCTTCTGATACATCATCGTTATTTGGCACCCAACGATCGTCCAGAAGTTTTCGACGAAAATAATACTATAACGTACAACAGGACATTCGGAGACATGGTTCGTTCTATTTTATAAATAACAATACTGTACATTCTTGTTAAAAATTCTTAATGTTTGTAAAATGTCTACGGTAATAAATTATAATAAATGAGTTTTTATTGTCTGTAATTGTTGCTATTTCATTTTCCCTTGTTTTGCACACAAGAAATTTTCAAATATTCCTGAATTATTTATATTTTAATCAACTTTAGAAATCTTTTAATTATTGAATGTTGTGGACAACTTTTCATAGAAATAAACTGGATAATATTCGAGTTCTTTACAGTACATTTTAGCTCTTTTTCGGCAATGTAGATTCGAAGGGAGTGGAGAGACGGGATAAGGCAGCGCAACACAATGGGCGATCGCATCTGTCTAGGAAGAAGTCGGTGTAAGATATCAAATATACGTCATCTGATATAATTTCGGGGACATCTAGACCGGGGTAGTCACCCTTTATATGCCTACCGCCCACTTTTGTATCTTAGTAGTAAAATTTTCGAACCATCCACCGGTTTACAGTAACGGTGATTTATAAAGTAGGGAGGTAACTTTATAAAATTTATAATGCTGAGTTACAGCATATAATAATAATTACTTACCAAATACTTTATGTCGGACTTTCGCTAAGTTTGGCAGAATAAATCTTTATAAAACAACTTTCTTTCGTTAAATCTATTCTTTTGTTTATACTTTTGCACACATGAAGTCTGATGAAATTACACTATCGTATAATGCTACAAAACGGACTAAAGATGTACCCTTTGACAGCCACTGAACATCTGAACTGGACTCGAACCCACAACTCGTTCTTACTGTGCATTTATTTACCAATTGCGCTATCGGGACCTCTGGTCTGATCTCTTCTTCCAATACATATAACATTACCGGAAATATACGGAATAACCGTCGGTGGTTATTACGTTTATTTGTTTATGGTTATTAAGATTAGAAGAAAGAAAGGAAGAAAAAGCCACGTGGCCAGCCCGTTCGAGCGAGGCACGAACCCACGACCGAACTTCCAGTGTTCAGGATATGAAGACCGCTTGGACACTGGCGGATAAAATCTTAATTATTGAATTAATTAGGTCATCACTATTCAAGTTTATTTCTTTTATTGTATAATGACTTTCCGTCGTAAAACGAGACGTCCTAGTGCCAACGTTTTACTATCATAAATTAAGATTGGGATTTTACAAATGGGTTTTAATTATAATTGCTTTACAGTTAAAAAATAATAACAATAATCTTAATCTTTGCTACCGTTATTTTTTGCCCGAGCAACGCCGGTTTCACCTGCTAGTGATAATAATATNGAATTAATTAGGTCATCACTATTCAAGTTTATTTCTTTTATTGTATAATGACTTTCCGTCGTAAAACGAGACGTCCTAGTGCCAACGTTTTACTATCATAAATTAAGATTGGGATTTTACAAATGGGTTTTAATTATAATTGCTTTACAGTTAAAAAATAATAACAATAATCTTAATCTTTGCTACCGTTATTTTTTGCCCGAGCAACGCCGGGTTCACCTGCTAGTGATAATAATATAATTATTTAATTAAAAATTTAAAGTAAAATGCCAAAAATTATTTGCTTGTTTCTATCAATTTATTGGCTTTATACAGCTGCAAAACATGCTCATATTTGCAGCTGTATTGTATTTGGACGTTTCCATTCTTCAGCTGCTGTTTTCAACGAGGTGAGTATAGTCTACGAATTATTTATTAGTACATAAATATATTTATATAATTAATTAATATCTAATTTTCTAGCATTAAGCTTCTTTAATGTGTAAATCGAACCGGAATCCTTCGATGTGTGTAATGTGGTATATTATTGGTTCGTTTATTCGGGTTTCTTTTCCGCGTTAGACAGGTTAAATTAATAATGTGCTACGAAATTAAACGCTATAAGTCATTAAATATACATTTATTATACAAATACAATAAAATAAATAATGTAAAGGTGATTAAGGCGTCGACCTACCAACAGAGAGTTCCGGTATCGTATCCTTGCTCCGGAAAATTTTGGGGTATGATCTGTCTCTGATATGTTAGGCCCATTTCGTTATATTACTGTTTTTATTTTAACATGTGTATAATGTGTGTTAAGGGTCGTCCATAAATTACGTAAGGGCGATTTTGGCCATTCTAGACCCCCACTCACCCCTGTGTAAGAAAAAGTAATATTTTCTTTGATCCCCCTCCCCTCCCCTCCCCTTCCCTATCTTACATAATTATATTATCTCATATTCAGGGCGTAGAAATAAGGTTTTTTGGTAATTTATTTTAAAAATTGTTAATTATAAAATAATTTACTTATATTTTTCATTATCTCCGTCTTCACTTTCGTATGATACTATATTATTACTGTATAATTAAATTATCAATGTTAACTAGCAAATTAAGATTTTGGTATTGCTCTTAATGTGTAAACTTTACTATACAAAATCTTATTTCTAGATCCTAATCCTGTTTGAAAGCAATAGGAGATGATTCTTCGAAAGATTTTTTCTCTTCAAGGACTGTTATATTGCTTTATTTTGTTCGTAATCTTAATATGTTCAACGTTCGTTATTTATGATTACATTGCAAAGTATGGTCGGGAGCCATCTTTCGATCTCATCAATTTTAGCGATTCAAACAATGAAACTGGATATCCTCGTTACATCGTTCCTGATATCGTTCATTTAATACGTTTCGACATTCCCGAATTAACGTTTGTAGATATGGTCTGCATCAAATCCATACTTCTCAATCACAAACCAAAGACTATAATCATTCACTGCAACTGTGACAATTTAACAGGGAAATATTGGGACATGATTAAAGACATGCCACAGCTGAAAGTGCAATATAGAAAGAAACCAGAATATGTTTTTGGTACAAAAATAAGTTGGATAGAACACTCCTCCGACGTTACTCGCATTAAAATTCTTAGGAAATATGGAGGGATTTACTTGGATAATGACGTCTTTGTGGTTAACTCATTGCACGAGTTTCGAAGATTTGAAATGACTCTCGGATGGGATCTAAATGGGGACTCTTTGGGAAATCAAGTTTTAATTGCACATAAGAATGCAAGATTTCTAAAATATTGGTACGAATCGTACGAGTTTTACAATCCTGAAAAATGGTATTACAATGCTGGAGAATTTCCAACAAGAACTATTCTTTCTGTTTTTCCAGAACTTGTCCATAGAGTAATCGATTATTTTGGAGTGAATACAGATTTAGCTGTTATGTTATATGTTAAAAAAACTGACGAATGGAAGAATTTTTATACGCTTCATCTTCTGATACATCATCGTTATTTGGCACCCAACGATCGTCCAGAAGTTTTCGACGAAAATAATACTATAACATACGAGTACAATAGGACATTCGGAGACATGGTTCGTTCTGTTTTATAAATAACAATACATTCTTTCTTGTTAAAAATTCTTAATGTATTGTAAAATGTCTACGGTAATAAATTATAATAAATTTGTTTTTATTGTCTGTAATCGTTGCTATTTTATTCTTCTTTTGTTTTGCACACAATAAATTTTCAAATATTCCTGAATGATTTATATTTCTATCAACTTTAGAAATCTTTTAATGATTGAATGTGAATAATTGAATGAAAGTTGTGGACAACTTTTCATAGAAATAAACTGGATAATATTCGAGTTCTTTACAGTACATTTTAGCTCCTTTACGGCAATGTAGATTCGAAGGAAGTGCAGAGACGGGATCACATCTGTCTAGGAAGAAGTCGGTGTAAGATATCAAATGTACGTCATCTGATATAATCTTGGGGACATCTAAACCAGAGATAGTCAACCTTTATATGCCTACCGCCACTTTCGTATCTCTGTTAGTAGTAAAATTTTCGAACCATCCACCGGTTCCACAGTAATACTACGTTCGAACACAATCCACGACTCACTTCGATCTCGATTTACCTATAATCTGGATTGTGATTGTCTCCAGTCGAACGTCATTCTGTTTGCACAGGCAGTCCGCTTGGGAAGAACCCGGCTATTACACGCGATGATAAAACTGACATAACTACGCGGTAAGTCACAAACACCAACAAACAAAATGGAAGTTTTGGTTAGAAATAAATACAGTACTTTTTCTTGCCATCTATCTAATAATAGATGTCATCGTCTCTTCAAATACAATATCTTTTATATTTCACTGTCGATAGCCCTACANTCCGTGGATAATCTTGCAGGCATCAATATCTACACAGATGGGTCCAAAAGCTCCCTTCTTGTCGGCTCAAGTATCTCTATCTTCCTCCAAACTTACATATTTTGCCAAAAATATGTTAGAAGGTACAGATACAACCCATATACCTCCATCTATCAAGCTGAACAAGATGCTGACTACCAAGCTGTTCAGTGGGCCACTTCACTACCAAACAAAACTCTGTCTATCAACATTTATAGTGATTCTGTCTGTCCTGAAAGCTCTATTAAATCCCAATTGCAATAGAATAAAATCGCATATATCCAACACCATATTAAAAATCTTGTAAATAAGATAATTTTTATATTTGTTCCTGGCCATACTGGCGTACTAGGAAATGAAAACTCCAACACTGAGGCTAAGTCAGCTGCAAAGGAAACTGACTCGGACTACACTCACATCCTTCTCTCATGTAGCAGCCTTAAAAATTATATTCATGACAACGCTATGCAAAAGTGGAATCAGTAAAAGTAGTTGAGCAGTAAAACTTGTAGAATAACACGACTTTATTTTTCTAGTGTTGAATGTAGATTCTCATCACTACTTAGCGATTTAATGTTTGCTACTGCTCAACTATTTACTGAGCCTGGTAATTTTAGAAGCTACCTGGCGATGTATAACCGGGCAGAAACTGCTTCTTGCTTTTGCTCTACAGAAAACCTAGACTTTGTCCAATTTACAATCAACATACACTTATTCTGAAATTAGAAATCTTTACACTTGATTTCAAGTGGCCACGTCCACTTAAATAAGCTTGTTCAGAAGCCACTGTTTGATGCTTTTTACAACTATGTTCAAAAAATATGGACGAAAAGACTATTTATAATTTCTAGTTTTACATTTTAGTTTTCACTAAAAGCCGAATACTAATTTTATGTTTACTTTGTATCGTGTATTTTGGTTTATGTATTCTTAGTGTTAAACATCCATAGGAGTGGTGTACTTATTCTAATAAAAAACAAGAGAAAGAAACCACTACACGGACTTTCTCCCATAACAAAAAATGTGTAGAGCATGAATCTGCTAGCGTTATTACTCTATCACGTCAGACAAGACAACGAGCGTTCTTAATAGAAACCGCCAAATTGAAGCCGAATTCAAAACGCCACCACTCAACGAGATCAAAAAATAAAAATAAGAATATTACGTAAGACGAGATCTATTACCCCCTACCCCTGAGTAAGAAATTGTAAGAAATCCTTGACTCCCACCCACCCCAAAACACCTTACGTAATTTATGGACGGCCCCTTACCGCCGAAGAATCAACTACAAATAGTATTAAACACAGATTAGTGGGAATGGTTTTTCGCTGAATCTGAGTTTTCTGCATGAAGTCGTTTGGTATAAATTATTCTTATAGGCCAATGCGTAACATTTTTATTATTGGCCTTTAAATACTGGCTAGATTGTCTGTCTTTATTTATTGACTCATTATTCTCGGGGGAGCTTGATCCTGGAAAAACGTGCAGAAGATTCTCAAACTAAGCACTGTTGTTATATTCAACTGGCATTCTTAACTTTCAATTTTACCGTTGAAGTAATCGCAGAGGTTATATCGGGCGAAATCAGAAGCAGTTTCTTACATATTTTGCAGTAGCTAAAACCTTTTCTATTACGGAACCTGGCAGATATTACAGAGGGATACATTTAAATCAAAGATTTCTGATGGTAAAGATATTCTTCCATGGGGCAGAACTCCAGAATACGTGATAAAAAAGAAAACCATAAGTGAAGCAAACTTTTTGACCTTCCAACTGAGAAACGGGTTGTTTATGATAAAGCTTCAAACAGTGTGAGGTGTTCACTACTTAAAAAATACAGTAGTGTGTGTTTATTCCTCNATAGAAACCGCCAAATTGAAGCCAAATTCAAAACGCCACCACTCAACGAGATCAAAAAATAAAAATAAGAATATTACGTAAGACGAGATCTATTACCCCCTACCCCTGAGTAAGAAATTGTAAGAAATCCTTGACCCCCACCCACCCCAAAACACCTTACGTAATTTATGGACGGCCCCTAAAACAAACAGAAATAAATAACACAAAATAAATTGTAGCTGTGTCGATTCCGCGCGACACGTCCGAACATGTAAGCCGAACAATAGTGTGGGGGGTGAGTAATCAAGGGTTGAGTGGCGTTTAAACAAAAGACCAATCGGAGAGATTTGAAAATCGCGTAACTCCGGGTTCGCGTAAGTCGGGGTAGCGTAAGTTGGAGTGTTACTGTATTAGGAGGGGAACGTTGTTGAGATGGGTTCTTACAATAGTTTACACCAGATACATTCGCGAAAGTGGTCGCTTATTATGGATGTTGTATGTTGTTTCAGACCAAAAATCGATGCCCGCGGTCGCGTTACACGGGTGGTCGTTTAATACAGGTAACTTATACGAAGACTCTATGGATAAACTATTCCGTGCCAGAAATTTTTGCCCGTTTTGACAGGTGCCCGTCGAATGCAGGTGGTCGCCTAAGCAGTTTTCACTGTACTTACAAGAAGTCCTTCTGATGGTAATAGAGGGAGTGCAGTCACGTGATATAACGTCTTCGCACCGCCCACCAAAACAATCCTCCGCCATATTAGTTGCTGATTTGACGTTACCTCGCTGGTTTGCTTATTATGTCAACGTGGAAGAAAAGCATTTTACCTGGCTATGCAGCCGATTTAAAAGATAATAATTTGATAGAATATAAAGAGAAAATTTCTTTTATTGGATGGGATCCATACGGAATGAAACCACGGATTTTTCATCTAACGATTTAACCACGTGGCCCACTATAGAACATGGAGACATAGTAAATTATTTAGTTTTAACAACTAACGCTGTCACACTAGATCAGATGAAGGCATACAAATCACTCGATGCTCATAATTATTTGACAAGCGGGTTTATTCATCGTGAAATTTTATCAAGATCCGTTCGTAATGATTTAATTTTGCTTGTAGGAAAGGTACTGTACGTATCTTCATTTCAGACTTTCCATTTCTCATAACATAAAGTGCGTTATATAAAGACGAATTTAATTTTATATTTAGTCACATTTTAAGTTGATTAAGTTGTATTTATAATTACCATCAAATTTTTTTTTGTTCCCATGGTTTTGTGTGTTGTGCGAGTCTAACAACCTATTATTAAGATTAAATTAATTAGCCTAATAAATCCTCTTATTTATTATTGCCATATTTATCATATCAGGGACTGACTGGAGGAAAATAGACTATATTTTTACAAAAAAATAGCTTTTAATTAACCACAATCAAATTTTTAGTAGAATGCATTTCAAGCAACTCATCGGCATATTTCAGGCACAAAGACCCCACATCAGCCTAATACATCCATACAGAGATTCTTGAAATGCATTCTACTAAAAATTTGATTGCGGTTAATTAAAGGCAATTTTTTTGTAAAAATTTAGTCTATTTTGCTCCAGTCAGTCCCTGATATGATAAATATGGCAATAATAAATAGGAGGGTTTATTAGGCTAATTAGTTTAATCTTAATTTATGTTGTGGGCTAGAAGCGTGATTTAATAACCTATTATTGTTTACATATATTATTAGAAATAAATACCACAGTTTCTTACATTGTTTTTGTGCACAGGTTAATCACTCACAAAATCTACGGCAGCCAGCTTTAGTAGTGTGGGTTTTAGCTAAGAAAAATGGAGAGGCGATAACTGGGCATTGCAATTGCGTAGCTGGACAATCTTCCTCCCGCTCTCGTGTTGGTGCTATTCTTTTTGCCATTGCGGAATAAATTAAAATAAGAGCTTCCAGACATGTACTGACCGACCAAATAATTGGATTGTGCCACACGTAAAAGATTGTGGTTACAAACCACTACAAAAATTAAACTTTACGTCAGCTGCAAGTGCAAGTAAACGGCAAGCCTTGAAGAAAAAAATATACAGAAACCTTATTTGTCAAGTGATAAAACTTGGAATACTTCTATAAATGTGAGATCCGAATAGGCCCGGGTCTAAATTAATAATTTCAAAATAATATTAAATTTTTGTTATAAAATATTCTCTCGTTTGGGTGAGAAAAATAACGTTTCAGCGTGGGAAAGATAGATAACAGATACTACTTCCTTCTAGAGAAGTTAGAACATCCTCTGTTTTTCCCTTATCTGCTAAAAATCTCGCTTCGATGGGAAATGTTTACCCCTCAAATATCCCCCTTTCCGTTCGTTCCCACGGAAGAATCTTTG